ATGGAGGATGGAATGAGGCTAAACGCCATTGATTTAAACGCATGCTTGCTATTTGTTTCATGCAGGTCGGGGGTAGTTGGTTGAACTTGTGAAGGGACAGGTTGATGGGTGAGTTGGTGTGTCGGTATGTGTGTGATGTTCTCAATGTGTATGTTCTCATGTGTCGTAGTGAATATGGCTGCTCTGTGATTGGTCGTGCAAGGTGAGGCTGTTGCAGGTGAAGGGGAGCGCGGATGTACTTGATGTTGTGGGCAAGAGTAACCTGTCGTAAGAGTTGCCGGGAGACTAATGTGGGGAGTTGGAGATAATGAAGAAGTGAGCTGTGATGGACTGGTGCAAAAAGGGGGATCCGCAAGCAGACACCGGCTGCTCGTCGCTGAATGCGTTCTAATTGGTCCTTCTGTGTGCGGGTGGTGTTGGATAACACGAGACTGCCGTACTCTATAACCGGGCGAATGTAGGCGGTGTAGACTACGAGCAGACTGGGGGTGTGAAGTTGGCCTCGTGTTTTACGAAGTTGGTGAAGGAGTTTTTTGGATTTGTTTATTATGTGCGTGACATGTGAGTTCCATTGGAGGTTGTTTTGTAGTATGATTCCAAGGTGACGGTGTTCGTTGACTTGCTTTAGGGGTGTGCCGTTAAGAGTGATGTTCAGCTGGTGGTTTGGTGCGAACGACAAGGTAACGGTCTTTGAGGCATTGACGAGGAGGTGCCATCTGCGCAGCCAGGTTGCGGCAGCTGAAACGGCTGACTACAGGGACAACTCCGATGGGTGGGGTGGGTGGACCACCACAATGGACAGGGAGTCGGGGGTGGGGTAAATGGACCCCGGGAGTCGATGGGGAGTCGGTGTGTGAGTGTGTGGGGGGGGGGGGGAGGACCCCGGGAGTGGATGGAAAGTCGGGTGTGGGGCGGATGTAACCCGGGAGTCGAAGGATAGTCGGGGTGGGGTGGATTGATCCCCACAATGAACGGCTGTTCGGAGAGGGATGGGTGGGGAGTCGGGGGTGGGGTAAATGGACCCCGGGAGTCGATGGGGAGTCGGTGTGTTAGTGTGTGTGTGTGGGGGGGGGGGGGCGGGGGGTGGGGGACCCCAGGAGTGGATGGAAAGTCAGGTGTGGGGCGGATGTAGCCTGGGAGTCGAAGGATAGTCGGGGTGGGGTGGATTGATCCCCACAATGAACGGGTGTTCGGAGTGGGATGGGTGGGGAGTCGGGAGTGGGATAAATGGACCCCGGGAGTCGATGGGGAGTCGGTGTGTGAGTGTGTGTGTCAGGTGTGGGGCCGGGAGTCAAAGGATAGTCGGGGTGGGGTGGATTGATCCCCACAATGAACGGGTGTTCGGAGTGGGATGGGTGGGGAGTCGGGGGTGGGGTAAATGGACCCCCTTTAAATGGACCCGGGAGCCTGGTAGCGCTGTACAGTATGGCACCAGAAACATACCAGATACATTGTGCATGTACATTATAGAGTGCGTGGAAATTAACCAGGATTAACATCATTTCCGGGAGATTTGAGCATTTTAACCAGGATTAACATCATTTCCGGGAGATTTGAGCATTTTAACCAGGATTAACATCATTACCGGGAGATTTGAGCATTGCAAGGGGTTCATTATTGTACAGGTACTGTCATGGACACGGAAATCCGGTCGAATGACGCGGGGTCGGCGCCCTCAGCGCGTGCAAAACGTTGCGTGCAGTGCACTTGTCTATCGTATGCGTGCTCACGACTGCATGACCAGTGCCCTGGGGCCGCCTGACGTCCGGCCGGATTTCCATGTCCGCGGCAGTACATGTATCGTCTCAAGTAACCGCAACCGACATGAAAAAACCCTGAATGTGTACAGTGTAAGTCTCCCAGGCAATATGGAATAAAAATTCGAACTCGGATGATGAGCCAATGTTATCATGGATAAAAAAAGGAATGAAAAAATGTGACGATTTACAATATACTGCCGATAGTCTACTATAATAATACTGTCCAGCGGGAAACATGGATGCAGTGAATGGGATTTCGGTCTTTGACCACTTGTGGTGGGTCTGATCTACTCCCCTCTCATCACTTATGAGCTGCATTTGCACCTTAATGATAGCTTGCATAGACCTCGGTCCTACCGGTAGGACCTACCGGTAGGACCATCATACACAGACATGTTGCATGGCCTCTGTTCTAACATTGACCTAAAACTTGACCCTAAACTGTTGCTAAGGCGCTAATGAAGGAGTCCACAAATTTTAGACGTGATCGCACAAGGCATACTACGAAATTCCATGGTAACAGCCCATGGTAACCATGGAAACAGAGTATGGAATTATGCATTCCACTGCCTTGGCAAGCTAATAAAAACATTAGGGCCTCACCACAATTGATGTCCCATGGTCGAAATTCACTTTGGATAGAGTTGCTAGCGCACCGACAGGATTATGTGCGGCCATTCTGACATTCGATAAAATTGCGCATACGCAATGCACTGGACATAGCCTTGCATTTTGCGCCATTACTTTGCCTGACAAAGACCTCATCTCAACAATTGTTTCAAGAAATTTCTCAACCAAAAGCACTTTTGCAGCTCGGTTTCTTGGGTCCTACTGGTAGGACCCGTGGTCCTACCGGTAGGACGGTATGCAAGCTATCATTAATTATAGAGGGTGGTGGAGTTCCTACGGATGCGGAAAACACGAACCAGGAATTTTTTTAATTTTTTTTACTAACTGTACACTAAAGTTGCCATGTGACATACACTGTACAGTGTAGACTGTAGCTCGTGCTTATCTTCCTTGTGCTCTCCTTCCCCTAATCGGACCTCTCCTAAACTGAGCCTTCCAAGTTAGAAGGCTGTTGGTTTGCGCCTCGAAGAGGTGCTGGGGCCACACTATAGGCGCGAGGTCGTTGAATGTCTTCCTGTCAGTTTTGTGCATTGCTGTCGCACTCGCTGACTGTGCAGTCAAACCTCGCTTAGCCAGTCCTCTTTTGTTCGGATCCCTTGCCATCCGGAAGAAAATCGTTGGTTACCAATTTACAGCATAATTGTGTCATGCATGTATACAGTACTTGTGCTCGATTATCCGGTTCTCTCGCCTATCCGAATATGTTTTGGTTGAAAGCGGATGTGTGCGTTATCTGACTGCATGTGATCTGCTTATTTAGGTGGACAGGTAGTTATAACTCGTAACATTCAGTCCTTCCTTTTTTAATCTATACATTTTTCGTGGAGAATATCAAATATTAATTCGAATGTGTTGACTCACCACTTGCACCCATATCTTCACCTGTCCCCTGGCCTTGGAAAGTACTGATGTTTGGGGCAACGCTGCTGCCAGAGTTAGAACTTGTTGGAGTAACGCTGGGCCACAAAGACTGCTCCCCTGTTGCCAGGGTGGTCGATGGGATGGTTGTCGGGGTGGTAGTTGGGGTGGTGGTTGGGGCGGTAGTTGGGGTGGCGGTTGGGGTGGTTGTGGGGGTGGTGGTCGGGGTGGTGGTCGGGGTGGTGGTCGGGGTGGTGGTTGGGGTGGTGGTCGGGGTGGTAGTCGGGGTGGTGGTCGGGGTGGTGGTCGGCGTGGTTGTGGGGGTGGTTTTGGGGGTGGTTGTTGGGGTGGTGGTTGGTGTGGTTGTGGGGGTGGTTGTTGGGGTGGTGGTTGGTGTGGTGGTCGGGGTGGTTGTAGGAGTGGTTGTAGGGGTGGTAGTTGGTGTGGTTGTCGGAGTGGTTGTAGGGGTGGTAGTTGGTGTGGTTGTCGGAGTGGTTGTAGGGGTGGTTGTTGGGGTGGTGGTTGGTGTGGTTGTGGGGGTGGTTGTTGGGGTGGTGGTTGGTGTGGTTGTCGGAGTGGTTGTCGGAGTGGTTGTAGGAGTGGTAGTTGGTGTGGTTGTTGGATTGGTTGTAGGGGTGGTTGTTGGGGTGGTGGTTGGTGTGGTTGTGGGGGTGGTTGTTGGGGTGGTGGTTGGTGTGGTTGTCGGAGTGGTTGTAGGAGTGGTTGTAGGGGTGGTAGTTGGTGTGGTTGTCGGAGTGGTTGTTGGGGTAGTGGTCGGAGTGGTTGTCGGGGTGGTAGTTGGCGTGGTAGTCGGGGTGGTGGTTGGCGTGGTCGACGGGGTAGTTGCTGGGATGGTTGTCGGAGTGCCTGCATCAGAGGAAATACGGGATGAAAGAACAACCAACCGTCAGCAACCTAGAGTGGAATCTCAGTTGAGAAGCACACTGGTGAGAATGAACTTTTGTTTTAGAAGATTAAGTCATCATTTGTAAAATTTATTTAGAGGATTCCCCAGAGGTCGTTTATGCCTATCGAGGGGGTCTCCATTCTGTACAGTGAGGATGAGAATATGAGAATACAAAATGAGCAGAGAAAGAGAAATAACACGACGAATTGGACAACTGGGAGTGAGCAAATCAATGAGGGAAACGAGGAATATCAGTGAATACCCATGCAGTAAAATTGAAACTTGGCCATACTATTCTGCAGTTCTCTTTTAACGCTGAGAGTTTTCTCTTCGAGGTAGATATTTGGATCGTTGAATTTGAGCTAGTTTCGACCGAGTTACGGCCTGTTGAAGTCTCACAGTCGAGTGTGTAGAATTCTACACATTCAAGTATGGGTCGGCTCTCAAAGGGTTAAACTCAGCAATATTTTATGATAGAGGTTATTGACCTGCTCGGTAGGCGAACCCGTCGAATTTTTAATTTTTTTAATATGTTGAGTTCGAAACAGGACGACTGACGACACATTATCCAGACATTACAACGGGAACAGGTAGGTTGGGGGAACGACATTTATTATAGACGACGAGACAAGAGACCAAGACGAACGAAACGACTACATTGAAGAGTGAGAAAAGAGAGAGCGAGAGATCAAGTCTGAACGGCAAGATAAAGGGCCTGGGTAGCTATGGCAAATATGGGCGCGCAAGTAGCTACCCAGGCCAACGGAACAAAAGGAGACAAAAGGTGAGTACGTAAGTGCATGCAGGCCAGCTAGAAAAGGTACGGGAGGAGGTACCTAACATATAGTAATTATAACTCCAGAAGTCACTGTCTAAACGCTGGGTATAAAAGAAGAGTTTCGAAGTCGGAAGAAAATATTGAACGGTCTTTTTTGGGGTGGAACCCACACCATAGTCCACCGGTTAAAGCACCGCTCGCCTCAAGCAAAGGTCCCTGGTTCGAGTCCTTGTGGTGACGGTCAACTTTTTCTTCCGACTTTTTCGCCTTTTACATTTCCCCAACCAGTGAATAAATAAGAAAAGCTCCCGTTAATACAGATTACAATTGGACGGAGAGATAAGTATTTAAGGTAAAAAAGTAAAAAAAAAGTAAATTATCGTATCCGTTCCCGAAGGGAACTCACGACGGCCGCTAAAAAAAAAAAGTAAATTATCGTGTCCGTTCCCGAAGGGAACTCACGACGGCCGCTAACACCCGGTAAACCCCAACGACGGCCGCTAACACCCGATAAACCCTAGCGGCAGATGCAGCGCCTAATGGTGGGAAAGGACCAACACGTTACAGGTTATGCCTAGTTTCTGTCCAACACTATAACAGTTTCATGCAAGACACGGGTATTGTCAATTCAGAAGGTGCAACAGTTAGCACAATACGGACTGATGTAAACTATGGATAACAAGACTCAAGTTAGTCCTTTCTTTTAACTCCCGTTATTGCGAATAAAAGTCTTTGGTCACTTGGTATTCCTCCAAAAGAGCTGCCTCACAGCTGCCTCACGGAGCATGTGAGAAGTCCATCAAAGCTTCCACCCGGCTGATTTTTTTGTCTCCGCTCCATCTCTCTCTCTTTCTCCTTCTCTCTTTCTCTCTATTTCTCTCTCTCCCTCTCTCTCTCCCCTCTCTCTTTCTTTCTCTCTCTCTCTCTCTCTCTCTCTCTCTCTCTCTCTCTCTCTCTCTCTCTCTCTCTCTCTCTCTCTCTCTCTCTCTCTCTCTCTCTCTCTCTCTCTCTCTCTCTCTCTCTCTCTCTCGTTGATATCTGATTTCCCTGAACTCCCTGGAACAAGGAGTGGGAGGATGCGCAGCCTCATCACCACTGCTACGCATTGTCTGCACCAAAAACATTCTGGCATCACACAGGCCTCTATAGGAAGCAAGGTTCTGAGTCATCACCCTCTCCCATGTACTACATCATGTAAATACTGATTTCAGGCATGCGTGCCTGAAGTATAATGGGTGCGTTCGATGACTCCCATTAATTGATTCGTGAATGGAATCTCGTCGTTCGATTTCATGTCACGAGTCCTGGAATCGGCTCGGAATCCATTCATCCTGTTCACGTGGGGTGATGTGAATAGCCAGAGGCGATCCACGAATGGATTCAACCTCGATTCATGGGCAAAATCGACCGCATCCAGCTGGTGTCAGGGAATTATTTAGATCAGCCATGGTGGAGAGTGCAGATGACGTCGTGGAATAGAGCAATTAGTTTCAGTTTTAGTTGTATTCCAAACAATACATGGCTGGGGTAGCCAATGACCACTTTGTGTGGCGATTGCAAAGTTTTTTTTACCCAAACACAGCTAACAAGGAAAAGAGTCAGAAGTCAGAAAGAAAAGGAAAAGATTAAAAAGAAGCAATTAGGGACTAAAATTGCTTACGGACGCAGGCTCCTTCGAAGACGTGATTTCCACTCTGGCATGTACAGCTGTATGAGGATGGCGGTGAGATCCCCCAATGACAATTGACCTCTTTGGCACACGTTGAGCACGTAAGTCCATCCACGCAGCGCGTACCGTCGAACGCAGCCTGACGTATTTTCGAGCTGCTGCAGCTGCAACCCAGCGACCCACTGGAGTCGCACACCAAAACTGCCTCTTTACATGGCTTCACTGCACAGGCATACAGGCACGCAGTGTAAGCACAGTGTAAGCACAGTGTAAGCACACCCAACCTCAGACGTAGTAGAACAGGTAGGGAAGACTACACGGTACACTTAGTGATCATTCATCTAAAGACAGAGGTGAAGTCAAACTCTGGCAAAACATACCCCATTCGGGTACTTCTTACCCAAGGGAGGGAGAGAGGGTCAAGGGAAGGGTGACGGGAAGGGTCGGGGGAAGGGTGAGGGAAGGGTGAGGGGAAGGGTGAGAGGGGGAAGGGTGACGGGGAAGCGTGACGGGGAAGTGTGAGGGGAAGGGTGAGGGGGAAAGGTGAGGGGAAGGGTGAGGGGAAGGGTGAGGAGAAGGGTGAGGGGAAGGGTGAGGGGAGGGGGGGGGGGAAGAGAGGGGTTAGTTGTAGTGAATCGTGAGATCACTCAACTCCACTCCATACTTGTACATGTTGTCGCATTGTCTGCCTAAATCTGCTATCTGCTATCTGTATAATTATTATTGTACACTGCATGTACACTGCATGTCCACTGCATGTACACTGCATGCACTGCATGTGCACTGCATGTACACTGCATGTACACTGCATGTTCTCTTGGGAGTTGCAAGTGCTGGATCGGGCCAAGATCATACATGCTTTTTTTCTATAATGTTCATACTTGGTTATGGTGTGCTTACAATAGTTGCTGCTGTCTCTTATCTTGCAAGCAAGAGCTCTTTCCGGTTGGTGAACGGCTGCCCAGTTTATTACTTTTAGTACCTGTATTATTTGAACTGTACCTCACCCCCAGTCTTGATCACAGTCAAACTACATCACAAGTGGCTCTTGTTGTGTATTAAAGACTGGAGGACATGTGGCTCTTGTGTATTGAAGAAGGCAGTACATGTGGCTCTTGTTGTGCACTGAAGACTGCAGTACATCGCGACCAGCTGTACACACGAGACTGCCATGCTTCCATCTGCAGAAATCTGACAGCGCCAACCTTGGCGAGGGAGAGTGGGGGGGGGGGGGTGTTATAAAGGGAGACTGCCACCCATTTAGAAGCCAGTGGATCTTTTTAGGAATTTTTCAAGGGTCCGACACATAGATTAGGGCACTTTCGTAAACAATCATAGTAAGAGAGTGAGCAGAATTCGGTCGGTCTGTCGGAACAATCTGTAACCATCGGAGCGTTTCGGCAAGATCGGGACAGGTGGCAGCTCTGTACACAGCATCAGCAGTGGTGAAGGGTACTTACGAGCCGTAATCCTGGCCACCTCGTTCCGGATGACTTGCTGCCGGTCGTCAAAGGAGTCGAGCAGAACTTCGCTATAATTGCCGTTATAGGGCAACCCCTCTGCACTAACGTTAGGCCACTGGTAGACATCAGCGAGTACAGCCAGCGGGCATGTCGTCGAGTTGGACAGTGGGTTTCCGGCAAAGTCCACAAGGCCCAGCGCCTGAGAAGTGTAGTCAGACGTTCTGTGAGTGCAGCAGCAGCAGCATATAACATAAACAGCAGTGTAGGAAAAAGTAAAGTTCACCCGTTCGCGTTACCACCGGCTATCGACCTCTAGGCGAAAATTCACATATTAACTTAATGATAACAAATTTGTAACATGGAAATTGTGGGCACAAGTTAAGCCATCGAGTCCACCAACTAAACCAGATTTTTGTACCCACAATTTTCATGTTACATTTTTTTTCCTTGGCTCACCATCTGAGTTATTTTACGATAAAAATAATACAATTGTGTTGAATACCACACCCAGCTTAGGAAGTTTTCGTATGTGTCAGGACAGCACCATGCCTGTGATACCAGGGTGGCAGATGCAGCGCCTAACGGCGAGGGTGAGGTGGTAAGTCTCACAAACCTCGTTAGCAGCAGTGTCGGTCAAGTGTCCATTCAAGGCGGCAGGAAAAGCACGTGATAACACCCTGGAAATGGAGAATAATCTCTTGGCGAGAACGCAGCACTGCAGTGAGTGCGCTGAGCGATTTGAAATAATAGAATATAACAAACTGTAGCTAGCAACAAGGCTGGAAGACTGCTCCCATTTACTACTTGAACTGGGTACATCTCCCTGCCCACGGGGTACATCTCCCTGCCCAGGCATGGTCTTAGATTAACCTAACACTGAATGGGATACATCTCCCTGCCCAGGCTTGGTCTTAGACTAACCTACTGTTGCTACCCTTCTGAAGAGTTTCAAGGGAAAAGGCTCGAAGGGTAGATTCAAAATGTTTGAAGATCGAGGGTGTGTATGCACGCATACGACATTCTTTGAACCCATACCCACTTATCATATACACATGAACACCAATGATCAACATCTGTAGTTGTCCACGACCTTACCGAAACTTGAAGTGGTTGAAGAATGAATTGGCAATCGTTGTTATCTTGTTGTTGCGTAGCGATCTGGAATGGAATGAACATGACAAGCGTGCAAATACAGTAAATGCGGTTTTAGACAAGTGGTGTGCACTGCCTGGTTGCTAGGTCTCTTACGTTGCCATGGGACTTGTTGATCAAAACCTGTTCTTCTTCTTCACCCGTGTCTTTTCTTTGGTCGCTGCACTAGTTTGTTTTGTGTGATTACTACCAAGAGTCCATACCCCCCAAGAATGTGCGACTCTGTACATGGGGATACGCGCGGCGGAATTCCAACATTACGTCGAAAATGACGTACATGTTTGTTGCGCTTGTACTACTCCCTGGTTCCAAGCACCGCGGAATGCGGAGTTTTGTACAGCTGTGCCTCAGCGGCATGACGTAATGTTGGAATTCCACCGCGCAGTGGGCCTATTGCAGCCAGACCCCAGTTGTATAATCTTGGGTGATGGACACCTGTTACTATGACTACATGTCGATAGACGACGTGGTCGCCATTTTGTGCATGTCCTTTTTCCTGATGGATCTTGGATCTTGTGGAAAAAGAACAGTTTCTTTTCTCCCAACTTTACTACTATTTCAATATTTCAACTCTCTTGATTCCATGTTGGCTTGGTGCATGTATGAGTGTGCTGGAGTGCTAGCTGGAAGAGACAGAGAAAGAGACAGAGAGAGAGCAGGAGTAGTTTAAAAGTAACAGACTAATCACAGAGGCAAGAGTTTTTTTCTTCGCGACAGTAAGCATACCTGTCAACCATCAGACTTGGCCGGGACCTTATAGCGAGGGTGGCAGTCGGCACCCAG